ACATTTTGTCAATTTATTTTTTTTAAGATAATTATTAAGCCCAAGTTCGAGACCATTCCAAAAAGTGTTTGTTTGTTGCCTGGCGCCGCCTAGCGGTACTCCTGCCACATAACGGCGGTCTGTATATAATCGAGTCGAGAGTGAGTGAGTGAGTATTGTTTTACGCCGCTTTAGCAATACTCCAGCAATATCACGGCGGGGGACACCGGAAATGGGCTTCACACATTGTACCCATGTCGGGAATCGAACCCGGGTCTTCGGCGTGACGAACGAACGCTTTAACCACAAGGCTACCCGACCGCCCCATATCGAGTCGAGAACGTCCTTATATAAGTGCAATAATCTTGGACGCGGCGTCTGACCCCTAATTTATCATTGAGTGTTTGTTTCTCTATTCTTATCAATTACGGTTTTCGATCCTGGCAATAAAAGCGTCCAAACCTTTCCATGTTCATACGAAATCACTGCTAAGAGCAGAGTCGATTGTACGATTTCGACTATATCATGAGTATGTATTTATGAATCACTATCGGGGGCACGGGTGGCCCAATCGTCTAAGGCGCTGCGATTCGCTGTGCAGAGTTGCGTCCCTTGGGCACACCAGAAACCTATGATTACGGGTTCGAATCCCGGTTAGCCCCGATTATGTTTCTAGGATTTAGCACCAAACCCGTGCTCGTGGGTTTCACCGTAGTGGTAAACGTCTGAGACCTGCATAACTTCGGGCTTTCCTCCCACATTAAGCTGACACGCCGCGATATAACTGGAATACTGTTAAAAGCGGCGTTAAAACCCATCTCACTCACTCACTCACTATGAATCACTATCAAATCGTGATGATACAAGGTGTTCGCGAAAGGGTGAGCGTATCCTGTCCCAGTCACGTCACAAATACATGCAAATACAGGTCAATTGTTTACCTGTGAAAACAGGGGAACTTGTGGTACAAATACAAAAGGTAACTGCATCGGACATAGGACAAAACGTGTTATATACAAATACTGAACCTTCACTGCAAATGTAAGCGACCTTATCGTTGATCATTCCCAAAGACTGGATCGCCCTCACATTATTCTTTCGTCCAGTGAAGATCCCGGGTTGGAATTGCTCTTCAGAAACCCGTGCTTATCGTAAGAGGCGACTAACGGGATCGGGTGGTCAGGCTCGCTGACTTGGTTGATGCATGTCATCGTATCCCAATTGCGTGGATCAATGCTCATGATGTCAATCTGTCCACACTCGATTATATACAGACCGTCGTCATATAGCTGGAATATTGATTGCGGCGTTAAAAAACAAAACAAACAAACAAAAATGGTAATCATGGTGTCTTTGTCTATCAATCTGCGACCGCCTCCGTGGTCTTGTGGTAGAGCGTCCGCCCGGAGAGCGGAAGGTCCAGGGTTCGATCCCGGGCCGCGTCATACCAAAAGACATTAAAAGATTGTACTTGTTGTTACCCTGTCTGGCGCTCGGCATTAAGGGGCTAAAACAAGGACTGGTCGGCTCGGAGTCAGTATACTGTGTCTGAGTGGGGTATTCATGTTAAACTGCGGCATGGTATCTCAGTGAGCTAGCACTATAAATCGGCATCAGTCCGGACTAGTACAAGCAGCCACACACACACACATACACGTGTATGCACGTCGCTATATAAGTGCAATAATCTTGGACGCGACGTTAAACCCAATTTCACCTCACCTCACCTATCAATCTGCCGACACAACGGCGTGTGTTAACACAGCAACAAAGTGGGACTTGGCGTTATTCTTCTGTCTGCTTCCCTGATGTCCAGCCATTCTCTTTGCCGAACACTATAACATCAATTACTGCGAAAGGAGCGTGGGCGTCTGTCCGGGAGTCATTAACCTGGTGCAGTATCTTCAAACACGATCGTGGCAGTGAATAATTACACACCAACATTACCGCGTGTTTCTTTCCACGAATCTTTAAACCGGTTTCATCCGCCTCCGCATATAAACCAATCGTTTATAGTACTGTAGTTAATCTGTCAAGTGAGTGCATCATGCTTAACGCCGCTCCAGGCATTAATCCTGCCACGATGCTGGCAGTCGAGTCTGGGACAGACAATCCAGTGATCAGCGTTGCCAAGCAACGCGCCATTTTTGGTAATTTAGTAAATTGCCCTAAATGTCTACACTTACGTTTCTGGAATGACTTGAACAGGTCTTTGCTGGTGAAACCTTGATTGAAAGGTTTATCTGTGAGCAAAATGTGTATTTCCATAAAAATATATACACACGTTCTTAAGCACCAGTTCGAATCCCGTTTCGCCCCGATTATGTTTTTAGGTTTGTCAGCACCACACTCGTGCTCGTGGGTTTCACCGAAGTGGTAAACGTCTGAGACCTGCATCACTTCGGGCTTTCCAACCACATTGAGCTGACACGCCGTGATATGACTGGGATACTGTTAAAAGTGGAGTTAAACCCAACTCACTCACTCTTAAGCATCAAACCACTTGCAAATGAAGGCGCCATAACAAGGGGCTTATGGTATATTCACGATGGGAAAATTGAAATCATCCCTCTTGAGATAAAGCTTGGTACAGAGGTTGTCATCATTTTGAATTTCTATGCCTAGATCCACATAGAACGCTGACTAATGCTGATGACGTCACACAGGAATGGTATGACTTAATGATACATTAGCACACTCAGGCAATCGGTAAATTCAACATGGTTGGTTTGGGGCGTGTTCACCTACGATGATTTTTTTTGGTTTGATTATCCATTCAGTCTTACCCAGATTCCATTCTCATCAATATTTCCTAAGGTAACGTTATCCTTCTTATGTTTTTTTTCTTATTTTTTCAGCGTCGTACTCAGCAATATTCCAGTTATGTGAAGGAGATATGTGAAGGCAATCCAGTGATTGACCTCATGAGCATCGATCTACGCAATTGGGATACGATGACATGCATCAACCAAGTCAGCGAGCCTGACTACCCGATCCCGTCAGTCGCCTCTTACGACAAGCATGGGTTGCTGAAGTTAGAGGGAAGTCTTTCTCCATCCTTACCACTATTATGACCCAAACAGGGGGAGACAAGAATGAATTTTTTTGTACATTACAGTATTTGGGGATTTTTAAAAATTGTTATTTATTTATTTAATATATTTTTTATTTATTTTTTTAGTGGTGGTGGTGGTGGTGGTAGGGGAAGGGGGGGGGGGGGGGGGGGGGGCAGAATGTTACATGTATTTGTGTGTGTGTGTGGGGGGGGGGGGGGGGGGGGGCAATGAAAACATGCTACATAATATGGGGAGGGGGGGCGTCTTTAGGCCAAACTCACCGGTTCCCCCTCCCCTGTAATAAATGACCAGTCCCTTACGGGTGTGTATTTACACAAACTGTAATTGTGCATACTTGTGCAAATAAGGGCGTTATAAACGAGCCTTATTAACTTCACGGCAATTTAATAATCGACCCTGCGTCTGTGTTATTGATAACATGAGCAACGACCCATGTTGTTGGGGTGAAGGATGACATACAACAGGCCAAGTCATCTGACCCCCACTATACGGCTTTTACGGTATATCGGGGCTGACATTTGCACTCACAACGTTCAATGCCTGTTATTCATATCTGACGTCTATTTTTTATAGTTTTATAGAATTTTAAACAAGCAAGTGAACCATTTCATTGCCTAGAGATTGTTTCGTTTACCGTTTTTTTTATTCATGTGCACTTTATGATATATACATAACTATTTATTAATATATATTGAATATATAAATGCATTATTTAATATCGCTAAAGGTTGTCAGCGAGTGAAACGGATCAATGGTGAGTTAGATGCGTTGAGCGACCTAGTGGAACCGCGCTCTGTTAAACATATGATGTCATGTCGGGGGGAGTAACACCGGTCGGAAGAGCTTACTAATAACTTGTTCATCTATCTTAGGATTATATTGGGGTCAACTCTAGAATAGGAACCCACAATCAGCGAATCCTTGTCCGACTAAGGGATGTAACTCCGCACAGCGATTTGCAGCCTCCGACGGAAACCAGATCTTTTACCGCGATACGTCTCTGTTCGTTCAGTTGACAAACCAATCGATACGTAACAAACAAATCAATAAATAAAAACTCATTAATAACCGGGCCCTAGTTGCCATGGAAACATCAAAATTAATAGTTGGCAGAAATGATTTAAATTAGTATATAATCTTTTATTTCGTATATGTAAATAGGTTCCACGTGAAACTCAAACAGTTATCATTGCTCAGATAATTTGTACTCAGTAATATCAATTCTCGATGTATGTCAAAGCGACTTTAAAGAAGTCAACTAAAGACATTAAGGTAATGTTCTTTTCAATATTTAACATGTCTTTGTTCAGAATGACAAACAAACATCTATTAATAAGTGCGCTTGATTGACAGCATCGATTTAAAATGTAGTTAATGACAAAATAACAATTGTTAACATTAAAGAGTAATGATGTCAGTTGCACAAACGTTAACACGTATGAATAAAATATGTAGTGGTTCAACATCCCTCGAGCATAATATTGAAGATCTCTCTTAATGCAGCACATTGCATTCAATAAACATCTTGCAGATAGCGAAACTGACCTATTTCCAGCGCAAGGTCAAATTCAGACAATAATTGTTGGGCTGTGTTCTTATGACGCAACGTGGTAGCGGTGAAAACGTCACGTTTATAATTTTAGACATAAGTGGAACAGCGATCCTGTTGCACGAATACCACGAGTTTACAAATTAGGTCAACAATCGCGACCCATTTGCACTCTTATTTGGCTAGAATACCTATTATCTTCTACGCACAGTCCATAGAATCAGCCCTAACAATGGCATAGAATGTGTATTAAAGCTGCGCGGTTGCTTAATACAACCCCCTGCAATCGATTTCATATCAACAGATGTGTATTTCAACGCGTTTGCGGAGGCGTCGGCATGTCAACTATTATAACAACCTGTCATACCTGTCGTGAAAAGTGGACTGGTCCAAATAATAGCTAGGAAGCCATGGTGCATGTTTGAATGGAAGTCGGTCTAAATCATGTAGAGAATGTGTGTCATCCTGACCAGGGCCCATCATCCACTGGATATATCTGGATAATTAACGCTGTCCTTACAATCACAGTGGATGACACCACGACGTGTCTCGTCGCCAATAATCGCCATTACAGGTAAGAAACCCCGAAGCAGATTTACGGCGCGAGATGTCTCGTGAACCCGCAGACCCAATTCGCGAGGTTTGCACGAGGTGGGGTAAATTCTGGCTAGAAGCAGACACGTCCGAGACCTAGATCTCCGGTTCACCCCCGATCACCAGACATGTTATACAATATGGTGTGCATAACTTGTAACCCGAATGGGCTGAAATAACGAATATTCACATCTTCGGAGAACTATTTTGCGAAAGGTTATGGTAGTATTTGCCGAGATATTTGTCGGGGGATTTTAGTATACTATTGTGCGTCATGTTGGTGAAGCTTGTTCTCCGGTATGCAATTTTATCGCCGCTAGCTGATTTCTGCATCACTAATGTTGCGGATTGTCTGTAACACATTGACGTCACGAGACTCACGACCAGTGTCCTTTTTTATCAGAAGAATATAATCACCGAGACACTTTTATCGCACAGCTAGGAGGTGAATACTGGATTACGCAACATGGAATCACCCAATACAGGGGGGTGATTGGAACCTGGTTCAAAGCAGGAAGTTGGTATCAATTGGTTGATTGGGCATTTTATACTACTCGATAATTTCGGCACTTTTCAGGCTCCAAATGTGGCCATGTTTGGGTTTTGTGTTGGTTGACCCTCTATTGATGTTGTTTCTTTTGAGAAATTTGGCTTTAATCTAAAGGCGTGAACAAATGAGTGGTCAAATTCCCCCCCCATTTTCCCAACTTGATTCTGCTTTGTAGTTTGTTTGGACAAGGCGGGTACAGCTTTATTCTCATTTCTAAGTTTACAGTGATTTTTTTTATATAAGATGAAGCATGTGAAATTGTGTCATATCTTTGTACAATATTGAAGGATTTTATTTATTAAAATAATAAATTAGAGTTAATTATAAATCAATTGGTGAAATTGTGATGTTCAATGAATGTGGCAATCATCAGATTTGATGGACTATTTGTTGTTACTATTCATTCTGTGAGTCTATTGTTTAGGATACTGTATTAAACTTCAGTTTACTGTTCACTATAAAGTTTACCTTTTACAATCTATATAACATTGTAATCATCACTTGTTTAAATTTCAATCAAATTTAAATTTCAACAATTCAGATGAAATTCCATTTGTGAGTTTATGCCTATAATAATTTGATAAGTTCACTGATTTTCCTTTGGGCATATTTTGATTGTTCCATCTTGTCCTATTAATATCAATTGTTGTTGATTTTTAATCCATTGTTGTCGCACTGTAGCGTGATAGCTCATGGAGTTCAGTCCAATGTAGGCTGTCGTAATGTTTACACGACATGTAGGTGCTGAATGCTATTATAATAAATATGTGCCTCATCTCTCAGAATGTCAATTCGGTGTAAGGTCAAGGTCATATCAAGCACGATACAGAATTGTGTATTCTATGCATGTAACAAGGCCAACAACGGGAGTGCGTCATGACAAGTAGGTTTGTAGGTGTGTGTACGATGGGGCCTTTTCTGGACATGTTTGCAGTCTTTTGTCCCCTTGGCATCTAATACAGGGGGATATAGTGATCAGTCAGGCTGTCTGTCCGTCCTTCTGTCCGTCCGTCCTTCTGTCCGTCCGTAATTGTTTCCTTTTCCGGGGCAGAACTCGAAAACCATTCAGTGTATTTGATCGAAACTTGGCAAATCACATACTGAAGTGGTGCACTTTGATATTTTGTGACTTTTTGGATTTTTATTTTTTTTAAATTTTATGGAAAGAAGTTGGACATAGACTCCATTGGGGATGGGGTTGTGCATACACAAAGACCAGGTTATCAACTGGTGCCTTATGCTATTTAGGGATTTTTAGAATTTATATATATCTGTTTCCATGGAAACAAGTATGATTTTGAATGACGTAGAAATGCAAAGTTCTGAATCCCAATTCCATAGTATTGTCTCTGTGGCTAAAAAACTACTCTTGTATATGGAAAGACAGATTTGACTCTTGTTCGTTTTTGTAGTGCTGGGGTTTTATCACTGATCTAATCATTTTGATGTGATGGATAAGACCTGTTATTAATTTGGTGTAACCTTTTTTTTTATTGTTTGTTTGTTTAACGCCACACTCAGCAATATTCCAGCTATATGACGGCGGTCTGTAAATAATCAAGTCTGGACCAGACAATCCAGTGATTGACATCATGAAAAAGATAAATTAAACAAGATGACATGTATAATAACCATATTCAGATCATCATAATATTACGAACAGGTAAGAGTTATGAGGTCTGACTGATTGGATAAATACACATGACAAAGATCATGTTTACAATATGTACAAAATTAATGCAGTTCTTTTCAAAATCCAATATTTATGTCTTGTAAATAAATGAATGGCTGATAAATAAAAAAATTATCAATAATCAATTTTACTACTAATAAAAAATAATAATAAGCAATAATACATAATGTACCATAGCATGTTGGGTATATATCATGTATATTATTGTTGGGTTTTAAGTGATGATGATCCCAGGGCATCACTGAATTCTTTCACTCTTTATTATTAATTTGTCAGTTGGGTCGTCCCATTCACTGATGATTCACATGTCGCCTTAAGGTGTGGGGCTGCCTCCGTGGTCTAGTGGTAGAGCGTCCTCCCGGGGAACCGAAGGTCTGGGGTTCAATCCCCAGTCACGTCATACCAAAAGACGTTAAAAGATGGTACTTGCTGCTACCCTGCCTGGCTCATTATTGGGCAAAAACAAGGACTGGTGGGCTTGGAGTCTGTATACTGTGTCTGAGTGGGGTATTCATGTCAAACTCAGTGGTATCTCAGTGGGCTAGCACTGTAAAATCGGCATTAGTCCAGACAATAGACTAACATCTAGTCTCTGAAATGAACATATCGTACAGAAAAAACAGTTGTTCAGTTATCTTAATAAAAATATAATAAAAGGGAGCCCAGTGACTCTCTTCATTTTCAGATACTGCAGTAATCTAGACTTGCCAAACATTATAGACTTGCATGGGCTATATTTGATATATATTTGTATCAGGGTCTGTAAGACAGACTATCCAGACGAGTACAAGCAGCCACACACACTCATGTATCGGAGATGCATCCTTTGGGCACACCAAATACCTAGTATGATCTGCACCGATTATGTTTGATGTTTGTCAGCACCATACACATATTCCTTGTGGGTTTCAGCAAATTAGTAAATATTCGCGACCTGCTCGCACGCCATGATAACTGGAATACTGTTCAAAGCGACATTAAACCAAACTCCTTCACTCAGATATTATTTCAAGAATGATTTGTGAACATTAACTGTCAAATCAACCTAGACAACAATTTATATATTTTTTCACCACTGGAATCTTTATATGATTGTCCACTAAATCATCTATGAAAGAAAATATTTTCACAGCTTGATTAGAATAAATAATTAAACGTTTTGTCACCCAAGACTGGCTTCCAAAGGATATATCCTTTGGTTGAGATCAAGTGCTTTCACCTTGAAGATAAGTCGCTGCAATGAAATTGCATAACAAAGCTTTGACATTATCACAATCAAATGACATCACTAATCTCACACTGACCTGTGTAGATCCAGGGTAGAATTCTTGCTGTGAAAGGCGACTATGCTTGTAAGGGGCGACTAACAGGATCGGTTGTTTGTCTCGCTAACTTGGTTGATGCATTTCATCGTATTCCATTTGTGTAGATCGATGCTCATGATGTCAATCACTGGATTGTCTTGTTCAGACTTGATTATTTACTGACCGCCGTCATATAGCTGGAATATTGCTGAGTGCGGTGTTAAACAACAAACAAACAAACACTAATCATTCTGAAGCTCGTTGTACTGTTGAAACTCAAGACACTGGCTATTACTGTTTACAAACTGAAAAAGTCGGAGGTTGATTTTGGATGATAAATAGAATCTCATCCACGTCTTTTGATGTCAATATATCTACACTGGTCAACAAACTCAAAGGGACCACTAATTTTAATTCATCACGTCCATAGTTCGTTATAAGCATTTCGACTGTCGGACATCTTGCATCAAGTCATGTAACTACATCATGTTTCTTGATAAATACCAAAAATGTGCACTGTGTGTGTATGCTATGTTTATTCATCTCATAAATGACATAAAATACATAAGTAAATAAAAGTTATAGATATATTATTGACACGGTTTCATTGAAATACAGACACAAAAAATCGACTTGTCAACAGTCAGGTAATCTGTGATTTGCTTTGAACATTGGTTCAAAGGCAGATCTGGTCAATGTTTCCGTCTCGTGTTGTCACAATGTCATCAATGTTTTCAAACAGTTCCAACGATCCACCATCCCAAGGCGTCCCAATATATTTCTGTATTACCCATCTCCCGCCCACCCTGAATTTTCTTTCCAACCTGAAATAAAAACAAGTTTTCTCATCTCAGTTCCTCCCCCGTTGTGGAAATTTATGCCCAAAGTGATAAAAAAATACCCCTACAGTGCACACTCATAAAAAAACAGGTCAGCTTTATCTTTCTTCAGCTATATTTATTAAAAAATCGTTTCCTACGATTGTTGACATTAATACAGGTATGCAGGAGCATGGAAAGAAAGGCATCAAAAGTCATATGCTCTTGTATTTCTGGAATTAGTCCCTTGCATTTGTTGGTCAAGGTCAAAACAAGGCCATTTGGCCAAGAAGTTTAACTTGAGCTTCAGGTATGTCCATCTTATATCGTACAATAACGGTCATATAGCCAATTCCCTTCCACTGATTCACCCACCTGAGTTAGAAATAAAGGAGACCAGCGAGACCGCCTCGTGTTTCATATTTCCGATCTATGCATAAAGATCCAGAGTGACAAAACACTCTCCACCAGGCTGTATGACGAGGGATGACGTCAACTTTCCCTCATGTTGAGCAATATTCCAGCAGTTCCTGCGTTTGATGTTTATATTTCACAATTTTTGAAGAACGAATCTTTCTACGAAGAATTCAAAAAGCGTCATACAACTCTAACTCA